TCTTGTTGATATTGTAAACTTGCGATCATGCAAGTCTAACATGTGACTGTCCTACATAATTTGTGTATACTCATATTTTTATTGTGAATAAGCCTGTTTGAGCCTTATTATTATTATTATTTTTAAAAATACTTATTTTTCCTTCAAACTCATTTTCAATCATACATTCATTTAGTAAAATAATTTTGTACTTAAATCCAAAACTATTTCCTACTTTTTAACTACGTGTTCTTCAAATTATTATTATAAAATTTATTTACTTATTACACACGATTTTCTTTTCTATAACATCTATCATAAAAGTTAGCATAGCAGAAGATACTTAAATATGAAGACGAGCTTATTTTTCAATGACTTCTCAAGATAAGCTCAAACGAATTGTATTTGCAATGAATTCTTCGTCTCCTGGTCGATGTAGTGTTTAGAAAAAAATGTGCATCACGCCAATGTCGTCGAAAATCGAACTTCAATTATAATAAAAATAAACATGTTGATAATGCATTGAGGAAGAGAACAAAACATCAAACAGCTACGAAGAGAAACTGATTCAAAGTAGACAAGCTGATGGACACACGGTCGGCTTGTACCATGTGCATCATGATGTGGACCCATAAATAGTTGGAAAAATAAGTAAAATTCAAAGAAATAAAACTGAATGTAAAGATATTGTCCACCGCCCCTCTTAGATACGTCAATTTTCAGAATTGGAAAATTTGGTGGCGCCGCCTGGCTGAGGTACCACGCATGCGCATCAACAGCTTGTACCTAATATTTGACCCACCCATTACGTATTGTACCGGACAGAGACGTAAGATTTTGTTTTGTCCGAAATATGAATTGACGCATATCGACATATAATCTTACTAGATATATCGGTCGGGTTGGCTCTGCATTCATTGGGTTTGGACGCTTAGCAGTTCGAGGAAGTTTTATGGGGAACCTCGAGCGCTTATCTAAGTTTTGTTTTCGAATGAAATGATTTAGGGTTCGTTTGATATAATTTTTGCTTTTACTTCACTTATTATATGAGGATTTATTAAGTTCCTGTTTAGTGGGGATTGAAATTAAAATTTTAATAGATTTTAATAGAAGTTAATAAAATATGTTGTTTT